AGAGAGAGAGAGAGAGAGAGAGAGAGAGAGAGAGAGAGAGTGCGAGAGGAGGAGGTGGGCCGAGAGAGGAGGACAGGGCGAGTGGAAAGGACGAGGTGTCCGCGGGGGCGGATGAAAGGACGCTTACCAGCTACTACCTATTGATCGCCAATTCTTTTTCTCTTGTTGCATATTAGGCGCACTCTTCCTTCTTTCTCCTTCTCTGCCTATCTCTCTTTCGCTCCCGCCTGCTTTCTCTCTCTCTCTCTCTCTCTCTTTCTCTCTCTCTCCGTTCGCCTGGTTCGTTCGTTCTCCCCCGTCGCGTCTCGCAGCCAACCTGCCCCCTCGCGGACGTAGAACGCGCGAATCCGCCCCTATAGCCACCCTTCCGCGTCCTCCCCTTCCTCATCCCCTTTCTCTTCCTCCTCTTCCTCCTCCTCCTGCACCTCCTCCACGTCCTCTGTGCTCGTGTCGCCTCACCACGCGAGAGAGTGCAAGCCACCCCTACCACCCACCTACTACCTACACCGCCGACTCTGACGCTCTTCTTACCGGCAATGTTTCATTTCGAGCAGCAGCAGTACCCTTCCTGTTTCGGGATGGGGCCGGCGGCCGCCCACTCCGCTTTTTGCACGCAGGTGCGACGGAATCGCGGTGTGGGAGGACCTCGTCGCCGCGACGCGATGTAGTCGTAGATAGGATAGACACGTCGAAGGTATCGATGCGCGACTAAATAGGACATAAAGAAGAGTCCGATTTCTTATATCTTCTAAAAGTGCAATCACATATGACTAATCCCTTTTCCAAGTGTATTATATATCTTAGGAAGGAAGGAACGAGACGAAAAAAAAAACAAACCAAAAGAGATCATTTCTTTAAGACGCGAGTATCCGCAGACTGATTCTGATCGAGCACGATCTTATTCCTGTTTCAGATAGCAACGCCGGCGTTCCGCGAACATCTTGGAGTGAGAGAACGACGAGGAAACAACGCGTATAACGCGCGTACGGATCCGATCGCCGTAAGAGAATTCGGCGGAAGAAAAGGGAGAAGACCTTCGTGCGAGAGAGGTGCGGGCACAGCGCGCAGCGGGCCGAAAGAAGGAGGGTGGGAGGGAAGGCGGTAGGAAGGGGTGGCGGAGAGATAGAGAGATAAAAAGAAAGGGAGAGAAGGAGAGGGTGAGTCAGGACGCGCCGCCGGCGACAGACTGCACTCTCGTGGCGTTCAGGGCGCAAGCGTGCACGTGTGTTGTGCGTTTCTGTGCCCTAACCCTGTCCCGCTACCTGGGAGGAGTAGCGTGATCGTCATCCCTCCGTGGCTACATCCCCACCGTGCCGCCGTTGCCGCCGTTGCCGCCACCGCCACCGCCACCGCCAACGACACCGACGCCGACGCCGCCGTCAACTCGCCATCCCTCCGACGCGCGTGGAGGAGCGCCACGCCGACGAAACGACGGCGACGACGACGACGACGACGACGACAACGACAACGACGACGACAGGACCCCCACTGCCGTTACCACTACAACCGCTGCTACCACCACATCGGCGGTCCGCAACGACGGTAACTTTGGTCGCTCCTGCCGACGCGCTACATCACGCGTGACGTTGCACCCAACAGCGCGCACGTTAGCGCGCGGCGACGTATATACACGCGCGCTTCCCTTTTCCCTCACGCACGCACGTCTCACGCTCTCAGGCGGCGCGCGCGTTGAAAGGCATAGGAACGTTGCCGGAAGAGGAGAGCGGATTGAAGGAGAGAGAGGGGTTTACCAGGGTGGGAGCAACGAGGGGGGAGGGTGGTGGGGGGTAGAAGGAGGAAATCGGAAAGAGACACGGAAGGGAAACTAGAGCTATAGGGGTGGAGAAGGGGTAGAAGGGTGAGCAAGAAAGAGGAAGAGGAGGAGGAGGAGGAGGAGGAGGTACGGGAGGACGACGACGAGGGCGACAACGGCGACGACGACGAGGAGAACGGAGGAGCGCCGGCGGTGGAGGGGGTGGACATCCACGCGGGAACACGAGGCAGGCGCACCCGGCCGGCACGCGCACACACATCCTAAGATGTGATTTCAAAAATGGCGGATTGCCCCTATGCCCGCTGCATACAGGAACGCAGACACATCCGACGGGAGCTGCTGCGATGGACAAAGAATATGGTCTTCGTAGTCGGTGAGTAAAGAATCGAATCGTTCCGTCCGGTGACGGAATTCTGCTCTCTTACGTAAGTGTGATACATATTTTATATATCGGCATGCGTGTGTGCGTGCGATGCGTGAAAAAGATACTTTCGCGCGTGGTACACGCGCGCATCAGGGTGCACGGCCAATAACTGCTCGCGCGCGCTTATCTGGCGTACAAGAGGCGTGTCATCAGCGTGCTTGTTGCATGGGTGCGCGTATACGTGTATATGTGCCAAAGGTGTTTCACACACACACACACACATATATATATATATATATATTTGTCGAAGCGTGTACATGTGCGCGTATACATTGTACATGCATACGATCGCCTACGTTCCGCGTGGCATGTTTCTGTGTACGTCGTGGGTGTATAGTGTAGAAACGGAATTTCTATCAGTGTGCGAACGTGAAGAACAAGCGAGATAGGTCAAGAGTGGAAGAGAGATACGATGAGAAAGAGAGAATGGGGAGAAAAAGAGAGAGGAAGAGAGAGAGAGAGAGAGAGAGAGAGAGAGAGAGAAATTATGTGTGTGTGTGTGTGTGTGTGTGTGCGCGTGTGAGAGAGAGAGAGACGGAGGGAGAGGGAAAGAGAAAACACGCTGGTGGTTGAGACCTGTTGCGAACCGAAACGCCGAATCCTGGCTGACTATGTGCCAGGCGTGACTCCTACTCGCGCCTGTACGTTCAACAGGGTGGTACCACGCTGCCGGAAAATCCGATAATATTCTGTGAGTAGTTTCCCGTGCGGTTTGAAGTTTTCGTGAGTGCGCCTGTTGAGAAAACGTCTTCCTCTTGATTATCTATTTATATTGTAGGAGAGGTAATTGCGGTTTCTTTTACCGAAAATCACATCTCCAATATAACAATCGTACAATTAACCGACGCAATTAATTAACTGCGATTTTAAAATCGTTTGACTATTTCTGCTTGTTTTCGTATGTTTCATAAATCGAATTATCACGGATATAGTCTTCTTTATATCAAGTTAACTATATACTATACATCGTGTAACACAATTTAGTGTTCTCTCGATAGCTAGTGACTTCCTATAATCGTTTTTCGTAGATGGATTCTTGCGAATATGTAATTATTCTCTTTTCTGAGACTGATAATCGATAATCGGTCTATATAAAGATTAAACCACACGTTTCGGACGGCAATCGATGTATCTATGACTGTCTGATTTTCATCAATATCGAGAACGAACTTGGTAACGGAAAAACAATAGACTGGATGTGTTTAGTGTCGAAGGCCGCGAATTTATTAATTAAAAAAAAAAAAAAAAACATATAAATCGTGTTCGAGCGAGAAGTAGATGATCCGTCGAAATTTGAAATTGGAAAAGGAGATTGGCGCCGGCGTCTCCGTTATCGGTACGAGAAGCTACGAGAAGAATTAGGCGCCGCGCGTGCAATTTCCCGTACAGAGAAGGGTGGCGAAATCAGGCTCGCGAGACAGGCTCTACGACCTCCTCCTCCTCCTCCCCCCCCCCTCTTCCTCCTCCTCAGTCCACCCTTCCACGTCGGCGACGTTTACCCCTCGTTCGACGTCGCCAAGGGGGTAGCGGGCGGGCATCGTCAGACGCGCAGAGAATACTGCACAAGCTGCGTGCCTTGACCACAGACAACCGAGCGATCCCGGCCGCCGCCCGAAACCTTCTTTTCTTCTTCTTACGACTATCCGTCCTCTTTTCCCATCTACCCCCTTCTTCATCTCTCTCCCTCCGTCGCCGTCGCCGTCGCCGTCACCGTCTCTCCCACCAGCCTTCTTCCATCCCGACTTCCCCTTCTTTGCCTTTCGGTTAGTCCGTCAAGGGGCGAGCTCCGGTACTCGCGGAAGGCACGTTTCCGCACGCGTCGGTGTTGCGTGCACTCGCCGTTACGCTTCTTCCTCCACTTTTGTGACCTCTCCCGCTTTGCACCCTCCGTCTCTTTGGCCCCGATTCCCCTCTCTGTCCCCGCTCTCTGCGCGCCCTCCGTGGTTCTCTCCCTTCCTCCTCCTCCTCCTCCACCGTCATCGTTCGCCGCCACCTCTCGTTCGCGTCGCTCCTCATTTCGGAACGCAGCTGCCGCTGGTGGTCGAGAAATTTTCGCGAATCCTTTCTCGAGACACCCTCCCTCCCTTCCGCTCTCTCTCTCGCCAACCTCCTCCTCGTCCTACCTTCGACCTACCTTCTACTCCTTCCTTATTTCTCTCCGTATTTCATCTTCGTCTTCCGTAGCGAAGAGATTCTAAAAAGGGAGGCCGACAGAGTGGAAATTCGACGGAAAGTGGAGGAGGCGAGCGGGGCGGGTGAGGGTGTAGAGGCGACACGAGTTGCATGTATGCGTCGCGTTCCTTTACCTCTCCTGTCGAGACTTCCACGATCTTGGAGGATCGACCAGTGCGCGTTCGGAAAAAGGTGACGGAGGGTGATACCGGCTTTCAAAATCTCGATAGTGTTCCGAATGGTACGCGCGAGTGCACGCATTGTATTATCAGTTAACGGCACGTTGTCGCGGCGACACGTCACAGCGGAGGATGGGACGAAAGTGTTCGGAAAGGAAGACGAGTGAATGATCATCGAAGTAGATCCAAGCATACATACAGCCAATAGGCGCTATGTGGTCAAGCCACGGTAAAAGGTGAATCGGTTCAGTGAGTGTGAATTCTAAAGGCGGTATCTTCAGAAAAGAGAGAGGTCGTCATCTTTTCACGCCAATTTACACACGGACAGCTTCCAAAGTTTAGGAAACTGTTGCTCCGCCGAGGCGGCAGGACTCCTCGCCCTTCGAAGGAGTTAGTTACAGCACCTGTTACGCGCACGTCGCTCACCGTCGGTCGCCGGTGCGCCGATGATCGGTTCCGGTGCTCCGAAGTTTCGATATCGCGAGTGCCTAAGCACGAAGAGCACGGTGAGAGACGCGCGATAAATCGCGTCACGCACAGCGTAATCCTCGTCGTCGGCTTGCACGCACGTAATCGCGCGACACCCATCGGCCGGCTGCCGAGCCGAGAGGACATGGAATTGGACGTAATGAAGCCTCTTCCCCCGCGCCGTCCCGCCTTTCGTGGTACCAAAGAGCCGAGGGCCAACGAGGAGTCGCGATCTCGCGAGGGCACCGCGCGCCGCGATTGTCGGCAGTAACGATGTCTGGATGTTGCGTTATTGCGCCGTCACGACGTGGACGCCGTACGACTGCACGACAGAGGCGGATTCGGCAGACGTGAAAACGCGGAAGTGGATCGACGTAGTGTAGGTAAAGGGATCTCTCCTGCTGCGTTGTGTGGAACGCAGGTGCGAGGCAACGGCGTGATGCGTGTGCACGTGCGCGATTAGACGCGATAGAGACCACCGCTTAGAGGAACCGATTGCGGCTCTTGCGATTTTCAATCTTTACCAGCTGATAGCAGTTGAAATTAATCGCTTTCTATTTAGGAAGAATATCATGGACCGGTATATTCATAGTCGATTTTTATTTTAAGAAAACGTCTTAAGTAATTTAAGCTTAAGATGCTAATACGGCTCTCCGATTGATTTATGATATTTTTAAGACTGTACTTGAGATAGTCTTAAGTATAAGAAGAAAATTGAATTATTATGAGTACCGGCCATAGTTTTGTCTTCTTTAGATTACGTTAAATCATAAAGACTTGTGTCCCTTGGAAGTCGTATTATTGTGGCCCCTTTTTCTTCTTTTTTCTTCTTTTACAAAGAAGAAAAAGCTAATATGCCGATCAGCATGATCTGCTTCAGTCAGAGGACGAGTCTTTATAATTCAATAAAGTCTAATCGAAAAAAGTGGAGCTATAACGTTTTTTTTTTTTCTAAATAGAGAGCGATAATTTCAACTCCTATCACTAGTAAAGATTCAAGTTTGTAAGACTTTATTACCGTAACGTCTTTACAAAGAGAAGAATATAGAGTGTAACCTTAGAGAATGCGCCTAGAAAGAGAATTTCGCGTATCAGTGATTACCACAAGTGAGAAGCTTATGTATCAGAGCTTATGTGTAAGAAATAAACGATGTATAAATAGTTCTATCAAGTAACACTAGGATCAAATGTCACTTCCGAGTCGTCAAAATGATCACGTTAATTTCTTTGATGAGAAGAAAAGTGAAGGTCCATCTATTTAGCACACTTGCCTTTTATTCATGCAAAGCATGGATTATCCGGGTATGCGCTCCACTGTTACACACGTATCCGGTAATATTTCATTGTCTAGTAGAAGATTTATAGAGGATATATAGCTTTGTAAAAGATGTAATATTAATAGTTCTTTAGAGAGCTGAGAATGTACAAAGACCACTAAAGCGTGACATCCATCTCTAAAACTTGAACCGATCAAACAGATAAGGTTATACAGGATATCACTTCCAATTAGTCCGATTACTTCCCGCAATTTGTGCCCCGGAGAGGTATTATAAATGAAAACCGAACACAAACTTGGGAAGTAATATATTTTGACGTGTGTTTCTAAATAGAGAGAGAGCGATTATTAATTTCATCCCTTTTCCTATTGTTCAGTCGCGCATCCGTTTCTTTTCCGAAAAGGCTCGGCAAGCAGGGCAAAGCAACGCAATGCAAGGCAAGGCAAGGCAAGGCAAGGCAGGCGCGAGCAAGGGGGCGGCGGATGGGCGCAGTTACTGCTGATCGTTAAAAGGCGCATAAAAAAGGGAGAGGAGAAGGCGTTGGGTAGATGGGGGTGGTGGGTAGCGGGAGGTCAGAGGAAGCGGCGCGAGAAGTAACAATAAAAATTCGTCGGCGTTCGTGTTTCGTCGCCGTGGTAGGAGCGAAGAGACGTAAGGAGAGCGAAGTGAGGAGTACGACGGGGGTTAAACCGAGGCAGGAGAGAAAACAAGAGAGAGAGAGAGAGAGAGAGAAAGAGAGAGAGAGAGAGAGAGAAAGAGGGAAAGGGAGTGAAGGGTGGTTGGGTAGAGTTGGTGGAGCAGGGTGCGTAATGAAACGATATTGAGTAGCCGTGGTAGGGAGGGTCGCTGCAAG